ATGCTGTCACCATGTCACAGGATACGGCATGTTTTGGTAAGTTCGTTCTTTTTTTGTTGTTGTTGAGACAGAGTCTCACTCTCTCCCAGGCTAGAGTGCAGTGGCACGATCTCAGAGCACTGTAACCCGCCTCCTGGGTTCAAGCGATTCTCCCTGCCTCAGCCTCCCAAGTAGCTGGGATTACAGGCATGTGCCACCATGCCTGGCTGATTTTTGTGTTTTTAGTAGAGACAAGGGTTTCACCATGTTGGCCAGGATGGTCTCGAACACCTGGCCTCAAGTGATCTGTCTACTTTGGCCTCCTAAAGTGCCGAGATTATGGGTATGAGCCACCATGCAAGGCCATAAGTTCATTCTTTTATATAATAAAGAAATGAGGAAAACAAGAAGTTGGAGGGGAGGGGAAACAGAGTCAAAGCAAAACGTGTGTGAATAAGAAATATTCATTAAATAAACATCATGCTGCCTCCATGACCAGAGGTCCCCCATCTGTCTGAAAGTCTTTCTTATTTTCCTCCTTCTAGTCTAGCTCGCTTCCTACTTACTTCAAAACCTCCAGGAGGGCCGCTTTTTGCTTTCACCTGGGCTGGAGGGCAATGGCGCCATCTTGGTTCACTGCAACCTCCACCTCCCAGGTTCAAGCAATTCCCCTGCCTCAGCCATCTGAGTAGCTAGGATTACAGGCGCCCACCACCATGCCAGGCTAATTTTTTTTTTTTAGTAGAGACAGGGTTTCACTATGTCGGCCAGGCTGGTCTTGAACTCCTGACCTCATGATCTGCCCACCTCAGCCTCCCAAAGTGCTGGGATTATAGGCATGCGCCACTGTGCCCAGCTAACTCCTTCCTTTTGACAGCACAGCTACTTGCTATACTTTAACAACAGCCAACCCTTATTGAGATGTTACTGTGTGTCAGTGTGTGTGTGTGTGTGTGTGTGTGTGTGTGTGTGTGTATACATAGAGTGTGCAGGATATATAATATATGTACTTTATTTTAACAACAGCCAACCCTTATTTGACATGTTACTTGGCTGGGCATGGTGGCTCACACCTGTAATCCCAGCACTTTGGGAGGCTGCAGTGGGTGGATTACTTGAGGTCAGGAGTTCGAGACCAACCTGGCCAACATGGTGAAACCCCCCCATCTCTACTAACAATACAAAAATTAGCTGAGGGTGGCAGTATATGCCTGTAATCCCAGCTACTCATGAGGCTGAGGCAAGAGAATCACTTGAACCTGGGAGGTGAAGGTTGCAGTGAGCCAATATTGTGCCACTGCACTCCAGCGTGGGCAACAAGAACAATACTTCATCTCAAAAAAAAAAAAAAGAAAAAGAAATAGATGTAACATAATTATCCCCAGTTTGCAGATGAGGAAAACCAAGGCACAGCCATGTTAGGTCAGTTGTCAATGTCATACACCTATGAAGTGAAAGAACTGGGTTCTATTCCAGCCAGTCTGGCTTGGGAGTATGTGCTCTTAACGACTTCCATGGACAAATGAACAAATGATGTCCATTTAGACATCAGCCTTCCAAACTAACCTGTGTGCTGGCAGCACTCTTTCTGACTTGGGTCTCGTGCCCAGTACACAGTGCCTGGCCCTTGGGAGGGTTTGGTAGTTGAGCCAGTGTATACATAAGCACTGCGTAATCTTTAACAGCGATCTTAGACTTGAGAGCATTTCAGGGTGTATCCTTGCTTATATCCTAAGACTGTCTAGGGTAGCATGGTATTTCTTTGAAAGAGTGCTCTGAAACCAGAGCTAGAAATGTCAGTTCATCTGGAGAGGTGGCAAGGCTAGAAGCTTCAGAGCAGAGGAGTTACATGATCTGATTTTAAAGCAAGGACACAGGAGCCAGTGTGAAAGGGCGACCCCTGGCCGAATCAGACACAATTTGAGCACCAGCATAATTAAGGACAGCAGTGGGATGTGAACTACTGAAAAATAGGAATCCCCAGCCTGGGCTACATTGCTAGACCCAGTCTCTACAAAACATTTGAAAGATTAGCCAGGTGTGGTGGTGCGTGCTTATAGTCCCGGCTACTTTTGGGGCTGAGGTAGGAAGATCACTTAAGCCTGGGAGGTTGAGGCTGCAGTGAGCTGTGATTGTGCCACTGCACTCCAGCCTAGGTGACAGAGGGAGACTCTGTCTCAGAAAAAAAAGAGGCAGGGGAAGAAAAATAGAAATCCACATGTGCATACTGATAATAAATAGATAAGGCGGAGGTGGGGGGATCTCGTTTAGTAGAATGCTGCAAAGTGCTAACTGGTAAATGTGGAGGGTGAGCCGGAGCTGGAAAAATTACCATTTGCAACCATCAAAGTAAAAGCTGGCTCAGGCAAGAGTCATTAATGGTTACTCAGCGTAAGCAGACATTTTGTTGAGGAGCAGGATATTTACATGATTTTAAAGTACCTATTCACAGATTGCTTAGTAATTCTATAGCGAAGAAGTCCAACAGCACATTGATCAGGTGATCAAAATTTATGTCACCGATAAGGGGCAGATGGACCTTGTGGGCCTCTAGATGTGATGCCCCAGAAAGGACGCAGTGTCCCTTATTCGGTGTTCTGTCCAGGAATGCATAGCCTGAATTTAATGATGGGAAACATCAAAAAACCCAAATGAGAAAACTGCATTTAAAAATAGAAAAGAGGGGACTAGTGTTCTCCAAAAATGACAGTATCATAAAAGGCAAAGACAGTGTAAATGTTCAAATTAAAGTAGACAACAGTCATGGCAGCTAAAGACAATATGTAACCCTGATCTTAGGATTCTATACTAAAGGGGAAAAATGACATATAGGACATCATTGGGTCAACTGGAAGATGAGAAAACAGATAGTAGGCTAGATTAAATTACTATATCAATTTTTGTTTTTCTTAAACATAGATTCTTGCTCTGTTGCCCAGGCTGGAGTACAGTGGCATGATCTCGGCTCACGGCGACCTCCGTCTCCTGGATTCAAGTGATTCTCCTGTCTCAGCCTCCCAAGTAGCTGGGATTACAGGCATGCACCACCACACCCAGCTAATTTTTGCATTTCTAGTAGAGAAAAATTTTCACCCTACTGGCCAGGCTGTCATCTTGACCTCAGATGGATCCACTCGCCTCAGCCTCCCAAAGTGCTGGGATTACAGGCGGGAGCCACCACACCTGGCTTTATCAATGTTATGTTTACTGAAGTTGGTAACTGTATTATGGCTATGGAAGAGAATACTCTTAGAAAATAAACACCAAAGTGTTTAGGAGTAAAGGGCCATGATATATGGTATTTAGAGAGGAGAGGGAGAGAGAGAGCTGGGTCGATAAAAGACGTGCAAAATGCTAACTATAGGTGGCTATGGGGTAAGGGAACAGGGTATTTTTTGTAGTATTTTTATTCTTGTAACTTTCTGTAAGTTTAAATCTTTTCCAAATTAAAAAAAAAATTAGAAAGAATACAACTCTTAAAGGGCCCACACATGCTGCTGTGATGCAGAGACCATGGAGAGGAACGGGCAGGAACTGGCCACATGGTCAGGGTGTCATTGTGATAATTCAGGTGAGAGAAGGTGGTGGCTTAGACCAGGATGGTGACAGGAAAAGGGGCAGGGGACATTCAGGTTCTGGATATGTCTTGAAGGTACAGCTATTAGGATTTTCTGATTAATTCCATGTGGAGTTGAGAGAAAGAAAAGAGGCAAGGGAGAACCCCAGGTTTTCTGGCTGGAGCAACTGGAGCTGGGAGTTGTTGGTAACTGGGATGGAGAAGTGGAGGGAGATGAAGGTTTGAAGTGGGAGGTTGAGAGTCCGCTTTTGGACGTGGGCCTGGGTAAGTGGATTCACAGACCATATTATCTCATTTTAATTAAGCTAAAGGGTATAAAGTGGATACTTAGCTTTGAAAGATTTCTGCAAAGTAACCGCAAATCAAAGATAAACTGAATACTACAAGTGAAAGTGAATTTCCAAAATATTGCAGTTTGGGTTGGTGAGATTCTTTTTTTTTTTTGAGGTGGAGTTTCGTTCTTGTTGCCCAGGCTGGAGTGCAGTGGTGCAATCTGGGCTTACCGCAACCTCTGCCTCCTGGGTTCAAGCAATTCTCCTGCTTCAGTTTCCTGAGTAGCTGGGATTACAGGTGTGTGTTACCATGCCTGGCTAATTTTTTGCATTTTAATAGATACGGGATTTCTTATATTGGTCAGGCTGGTCTTGAACTCCCGACCTCAGGTGATCCACCCACCTCAGCCTTCGAAAGTGCTGGGTTTACAGGTGTGAGCCAACTTACCTGGCAGTTGGCGAGATTCTAAGAATGATGAGCAATACTCTTCTTCATTTAGATCTATGTATATTTGTGAGGGGGTCTCTTCCTGTGATGCCAGCCTTACACTGGTGATTGGAATATGCTGAATTTGAAAATGGACCCCAGAATAACTGTATTACAAGATGTCAAGTCAATTCTTCAATATAATGAAGCATATTCAATCACATTGCTCTTGTCAAAAAGAGCAAGTCTTTTATTATTATATTGTATACAATTTGTTATAGAAATAAAGAATATATTTATTTCATCTTTAATTCAAAATGGATATTCACTTAGATATAATTTTTTGTGTCTTTTCTGTCATATGACCAAAAATTCAGTCATGTGTCACATAACGATGTGGACATTTTGTGAGAAAGGCATTGTTAGGTGATTTCGTCAGCATGTGAACATCATCAAGTGTTACTTACACACCCTAAATGGCGTAGCCTTTTGCTCCTAGGCTATAAACCTGTAGAGTGTGTTATCACACTGAATATTGTAGGCAGTCGTCACACAATGGTTACACAGTATTTGGGATCACAGTATATGTGGTCACAGTTTTAAAATGTTTACCCTCTTTGAAGCTCCTTTTATGATTTTATCCTGAAGAAATAAAGATATAATAACTATTTTGTACTAAGTTGATCATTGCAACATTTATTATAATGGTGAAAGATTAGGAATAACCTAAACATCTACCAGAAGAGCCCAGTGGATAAAAAAAAAAGAAAAAAAAAAAAAACCGAAACATCTAGCATTTAAAAATGGTTAATATTGGGAAAATGAACTGTAATATAATGCAGTCTTTTCAAAATCAAGTTTCTGAAAATTTCACCAGATGGAGAAATGCAGATGATATGCTAATTAAATTCAGTATTAATCTCAATGTAAAATCTGTATTAATCTCCATGATGTTAAAAATGCACGGGAAAAAAAAGCCTAGAAGAAAATATTCCCAAATGACAACAGCAGTTGCCTCTGATAATGAGATTACAGGAGATTCTTTGCTTTCTGGACCTCTATATTTTCATATTCTTTTTACTTTTTTTTCTGCAATGAGCATGCATTATTTTGTAATGTGAGAGAAAAAGAAAGTAAAATACTAAGAAAATTATGACGTGCATTCCTGGCATGAGTCAGGAGCTGAATTTTCATGTTTAAATTAGTTTCAGAAACACAGGAGTGGTTTCTAGGCAACCTGCTTGGGAAATTATGTTCATTTCCATTGTTGCTGGAGTGTGCACGAGTGTCTCAAACAAAAGAGATGAACCTTTGCAAAAGCAGACTCCTGCTAAGGAAAAACAAGTTTTGCCACCCAATTTTGGTCACAGGGACTTGAGTCACTGTGACCCTGGAGGCTCCTAGGGGCCTGAGAATTTTTTTTCTTCTTTCCTTTTTTTTTTAAATTCTTTTTTCCAGGTAGAGATCTTTCTTTCTTTCTTTTCTTTCTTTCTCTCTCTCTTTCTTTCCGTCCCTCCCTTCCTTCCTTTTTTTCTCTCTTTTGTTTCTTTCTTTTTTCTTTTTTTTGCAAATAAGTGATTGATTGATTTTAATGAGGATTGCTATAGGTAAGTACAGTACATCAGACCTTCAAGCCTCTGCATAAGGTGCAGGGAAACTGGGAGGGGAGGGAGGATAAAGCAAATCCCCCCACTCCATGACTTTGCTGAAAATCCAGGGCTGTAATTTAGGCCGTTGCAAGGCTTTACAAGATGGATTGCAGCTCACGATGTGAAAGGATTGCCTCATCATCATGTGAGCCATTTACTATTATTATAGACAATCCTGCTGCGCCAAAGGGCTTTTAATCAGAAGGAAGCACAGAAAAATGGAATCAGGGCTGAGAAACCCTTGGCCCAGCCTGATAGGATGTGGAGGATGGGCTGAGTTAAGAATATTTTGTAGCCTCAAGGGAGATGCGTTCTTCACTAAGGGTTTGCAGAAGGTGCGTTCTTCACTAAGGGTTTGCAGAAGGTGCAGAAGGTATTGTTCTCAGCCCACGGTGTGTGTTTTGTCGACCTTGAGTGCGTTTTTCGGCAAGAAGCAAAGGCATTTTGCCTGATAAATGGAATCAGAGCTCAGTCTCTAGCTCCCAGGCCCCCTAGCGGTTGTCTTTTGCAATTAAAAAGATGAAGCGAATTGAAGTCCGCTGCAGGTGCTTTGGGTAATGATCGCAGGTGACTAGAGTGTGACTTTGACGCTGGCTCCCCCGGACTTCATCAAAGCTCAGGGGAAAAGCCTTGAAAATCAGGAGCTCCAGAGGGACAGACACATTTCCTCACAGAACCTGGGAGAGGGAGGCAGGAACCTTCCGATGTCGATGGTGAAGAGCTTGTTCTGTCGCCAAACTTCTGAACCCATGTCCTGGAATCCATGGAGGTGTCTCATGGGTCTGCCCACCGCTCCTTTAAAATGACAGATCCCTGGAAGGTAAATGAAGAGGGGGACCAGCGTTGACTGCCCCTCCTTATGTGGTAGCTCTGGAGGGCAGGCCCTTCTCTTCCTCTTGTACTCCAGAGCTTATCAAAAGGGCTTTGCGTAAGTAGACTCTGCAGATGTCTGTGGTCTGAATACTATATGGAGCTTATGGGATAGATAATATAATTCCCTTAACCCAGGAGGAAACTGAGGTGCAGAGAAGGTTAAAACAAAAAAATCCCTGAAATCTCTAATAAATGGCAGAACAGAAACTCCAGTCCCAAATTCCAAAAGCTTTCTTTCTACCAAGATGCACCCCCATGCTTCCACCATGCCCTCCATCTTGCTGGTCCAGTCTCTCTGCGAGAGCCTTGTTTCTGGTCTCTGCCTCTTATGGATCAGTCCACCTTGGAGGCCCAACCCTTCTTTCCCTTCTCTGAACATCTGGTCCAAACCTCTCATTTGGCAGTAAGTCATGCCTTTAAGGAATAGTTGGCAGGGTGCAGTGGCTCACGTCTGTAATCCTAGCATTGTGGGAGGCTGAGGTGGGCAGATAGCTTGAGCTTAGGAGTTCGAGACTAGCCTGGACAACATGGTGAAACCCCTGTCTTCAATTAAAAAAAAAAATTAGCTGGGGGTGGTGGCCCCTGTGGTCCCGGCTCTCTAGAGGCTGAGGTGGGAGGATCGCTTGAGTCCAGGAGGTAGAGGTTGCAATGAGTTGAGATTGCATCACTTCACTTCAGTCTGGGTGACAAAGCAAGACCCTGTTAAAAAAAAAAAAAGAAAGAAAAAGAAAAAAAGAAATAGCCTTTTTGCTTGCATTACTTTTTTTTTGAGATAGAGTCTTGCTCTGTCTCCCAGTCTGGAGTGCAATGGCACAATCTTGGCTCATTGCAACCTCTGCCTCCCAAGTTCAAGTTATTCTCTCCTGCCTCAGCCTCCCAAGTAACTGGGACTACAGGTGTGCGCCACCACACCCAGCTAATGTTTTGTATTTTTAGTAGAGATTGGGTTTCACCATGTTGGCCAGGATGGTCTCAATCTCCTGATGTTGTTATCCGCCCACCTCGGCCTCCCAAAGTGCTGGGATTACAGCCGTGAGCCACCACGTCCAGCTGCTTGCATTACTAATTTAACTTTTTACTGTTATCCAACTTTTCTTAGAAATTTGTCTTTTTCCTCTAAACATTCCATAATCACCCTAAAGTACAGGATGATGTGTGGTTAATTCTTGTGAACTCTCTGCCCAGCATTCAGTAAATGTCTGCAGTAGGAGTGGGTTTGGCAGCAAGGTTCTGATCAGAGCTCACCTCTCAGTGCCTGTTTCTACTGGGAAACTATGAAATGGTCTTAATTTTTATCTTAAAACAAGTATTCTCATCAAAAATGTGACCTACTCCCCTCTGCTGAGGGGCTTACAACCTAAGGTAAGTTAAAGACAGGCCTCTTTTTCCAAAGCTTAACTCTTGAGCTTATACTTATCTTGGCTATTACTACACTGGATTTATTTAACCTAGTCTCGCTCTGTCACCTAGGCTAGAGTGCAGTGGTGCGATGTTGGCTCACTGCAACTTCCGCCTCCTGGGTTCAAGCGATTCTTCTGCCTCAGCCTCCTGAGTATCTGGGATTACAGGTGTGGACCACCACCGTCAGCTAATTTTTGTATTTTTAGTAGAGACAAGGTTTTACCATTTTGGTCAGGCTGGTCTCAAACGCCTGACCTTGTGATCCACCTGTTTTGGCCTTCCAAAGTGCTGGGATTATAGATGTGAGCCACTGTGCCTGGCCTTTTTTTTTTTTTTTTGAGACAGTCTTGCTCTGTCCCCCAGGCTGGAGTGCAGTGGCGCAATCTCAGCTCACTGCAACCTCCACCTCCTGGGTTCAAGCGATTCTCCTGCCTCAGCCTCCTGAGTATCTGGGATTACAGGCATGTGACACCATGTCCAAATAATTTTTGTATTTTTAGTAGAGACAGGGTTTAACCATGTTGGCCAGGCTGGTCTCGAACTCCTGATCTCTAGTGATCTGCCTGCCTCGGACTCTCAATGTGCTGGGATTTCAGGCATGAGCCACTGCACCCAGGCTAGGTCAAAGGTGGAATCATCTAGTGATAGGATGGTCACTATGATAGAAGTATGTACCAGGAACCACAGAACATGGGAGAGGAAGCACAGAATTCTGCCTGGGAGGTTGGAAAGGGCTTTCTTGATTAGGAGATTTTCAAGATGAGTCTTGAAAGAGAAGCTATTCACTGGCTGGGCATGGAGGGGATAGCTATTCCAGGCTGAGTGACCACATGGAAACAGCATGGAGGCCCAAGAGAGTGTAGCAGATCACGTTGCTATTAAAGCTATGTGGGGCTGGGCACAGTGGCTCATGCGTGTAATCCCAACACTTGGGAGGCCAAGGCAAGTGGATCGCAAGGTCAGGAGTTCGAGACTAGCCTGGCCAATGTGGCAAAACCCCAACTCTACTAAAAATACAAAAATTAGCTGGGCGTGGTGGTACATGCTTGTAGTCCCAGCTACTTGGGAGGTTGATCCAGGAGAATCACTTGAACCCGGGAGGCAGAGGCTTCAGTGAGCCGAGATCATACCACCGCACTCCAGCCTGGGCAACAGAGCAAGACCCTTTCTCAAAAAAAAAAAAAAAAAAAAAAAAAAAAAAAAAGGCCAGGCACCGTGGCTCACACCTGTAATTCCAACACTTTGGGAGGCCGAGGTGGGTGGATCACAAGGTCAAGAGATCGAGACCAATCTATGGTGAAACCCCATCTCCACTAAAAATACAAAAATTAGCTGGGTGTGGTGGCAGACACCTGTAGTCCCAGCTACTCAGCAGGCTGAGGCAGGAGAATCGCTTGAACCTAGGAGACGGAGGCTTCAGTGAGCTGAGATTGTGCCATTGCACTCCAGCCTGGCGATAGAGTGAGAGACTCCGTCTCAAAAAAAAAGGAAAAGCAAAAAGAAAAAAGCTATGTGGGATGGCAGGCAATGCATCTGGTAAGGAAGGTGGGGCTGAGAGTGTGAAGAGCCTCCAAAGCCATGATTTAGAGCAGGGCCTTCATCCTGTGGGTAATGGGGGACATGGAGGATTTCAGATGGGTAGGGGAGTATAACACGGTCAGAGTCCAAAACATCAACGTGACAGCAATATGAGCGGGGACTAGAGAAAAGGGAGACTGAAGGAAGAAGGACCAGCCCCGAGATGATTTTCTTTCTTTCTTTTTTTTTTTTTTTGAGGTGGAGTCTTGCTCTATCAACCAGGCTGGAGTGCCGTGGCATGATCTCTGCTCACTGCAACCCCTGCTTCCCGGGTTCAAGCGACTCTCCTGCCTCAGCCTCCTGAGTAGCTGGGATTACAGGCGCATACCACCATGCCCAGCTAATTTTTGTATTTTTAGTAGAGACGGGGGTTTCACCATGTTGGTCAGGCTGGTCTCGAACTCCTGACCTTGTGATCTGTCTGCCTCGGCCTCCCAAAGTGCTGGGATTACAGGCATGAGCCACTACACCAGGCCAAGATGGGTTTCAATACCCTAGGAAATACTACCTTGTAGGGTGTTGGGGAGTTGAGAGGGATGGTGTGGGTTTAGCTGACAGGACTGATGGAATGTGGTAGTATGTGAGGGAAATCTGGGGCAACTGCTAAGATCTGGTATGGGGGACTGGGGAATGGTGGTTTCATTCACCAAAACTAGGAGCCCATGGCAGGACAGAGGAAGATGGTGAGTTGCACTTTGGCTGCATCTGAAGTGCTGTGGGACCTCCATGGAGAGCTGTCTAGGAAGTGGTGGGTATGTGAGAGTCTGAGCTCTGGGAAGACGCTGGTTTTGGATGTAAAAAGGCTGGATCAAGTTGCTCTCTCTATAGACATTCAATAAACATTGTTTTGAGTAGCGAGCGAATTAAGGATTACAGGGCACTGGGAAAACAGAAGGAAGTTGCAGTGTAAATGTGGATGCTTTTACAGTAATGGACTGATGGTTGCAGAAAAGCTCCAGCTAAATAACACTAATTTTTCAGCTATAAATAAACCTGCCTCTGCAGTTGGGGTTTTCAATTACGCAGGAAAAAGAAACGCAGCCATGGAAACGCGGAAGAGAGCTGCACAGAGGGCACATCGTGCCTGCAGGGCAAAAATATTAGCGTGTTCCAGCCACAGTGGATGACGAAATATAGTCTGATCTGGTGGAAAAGAGACGGGAGTCTAATGTCCCGGGTTCAAGTATGAGTTGGGTGTCTATAATAGGTTATCAGACATGACGCGCATGTTTGCTATCTGCTTTCAGAGCCGTCATCACTGTTTTAAGCTTTTTATGTGCATCACCTCATTCAGTCCTCAGGACGACCTCATGGTAGAGCCTTTGTTCTGCCCCCTTTAGAGATGAGTAAACGGAACACAGAGAGTTTAAACAACTTTCCCAAAGCCAGGAGTTGAGGCTCACACCTGTAATCCCAGCACTTTGGGAGGCCAAGGTGCTGGGATGATGTGAGGTTAGAGGAATTTGAATCCAGCCTGGCTAACATGGTGAAACCCCGTTCCTACTAAAAAATACAAAAAAATTAGCTGGGTGTGGTGGTGCACGCCTGTAATCCCAACTACTCGAGAGGCTGAGGCAGGAGAATCACTTGAACCCGGGAAGCAGAGTTTACAGTGAGCCAAGATCATGCCATTGCACTCCAGCTTAGGCAACAAGAGCGAAACTCTGTCTCAAAAAAAAAGTAACTAATACATTCTTAAATTAATTGCTTAAAAAAAACCAACAACAACTTTCCCCAGGCTGCCAGCTAACAAGTGGCAGTTCCAAGATCCAGACAGCCTGAACCCAGAAATCTTCAGGGACTCTTCACTACTCCTAACTATGCTATGCTACCTTTCTATGCAAAAAGTTAGGAAATATCACTTTGCACAGCTTTCATTTTCTTATCAGTCCATGTAAAGAGAAAGGGGCATAATTTATTTTAAGAAGGCCTAAACGATAGATGTATATTTTCTTTTTATTATTTTTTAACTTTTTTCTCAACTTTTTTAAAATTGCATTTTAGGTTGTGGGGTACACGTGAAGAACATGCAAGACTGTTGCATAGGTACACACATGGCAGTGTGATTTCCTGCCTTCCTCCTCATCACCTATATCTGGAATTTCTCCCCATGCTCTCTCTCCCCAACTCTCCATCCCCTGCTATGCCTCCCCTATTTCCCCCTGACTGACCCCAGTGTGTGATGCTCCCCTCCCTGTGTGTGATGCTTCCCTCCCTGTGTCCAATACCCGCCTATGAGTGAGAACATGTGGTGTTTGATTTTCTGTTCTTGTGTCAGTTTGCTGAGAATGATGGTTTCCAGGTTCATCCATGTCCATACAAAGGACACAAACTCATCGTTCTTGATGGCTGCATAATATTCCATGGTGTATATGTGCCACATTTTCCCTGTCCAGTCTATCATCGATGGGTATTTGAGTTGATTCCAGGTCTTTGCTATTGTAAACAGTGCTGCAATGAACATTCGTGTGCATGTGTCCTTATAGTAGAAAGATTTATAATCCTTTGGATATATACCCAGTAATGGGATTGCTGGGTCAAATGGAATTTCTATTTCTAGGTCCTTGAGGAAGCGCCACACTGTCTTCCACAATGGTTGAACTAATTTACACTCCCAACAGTGTAAAAGTGTTCCTATTTCTCCACATCCTCTCCAGCATCTGTTGTCTCTAGATTTTTTAATGATTGCCTTTCTAACTGGCATGAGATGGTATCTCAGT